TGAGCCCAGCCTGGGGAAACCTGGCAATATCCTGACTCAAAAATTTTAAGATGTATAAGGAAGGGGTGGGGATCTAACTCCATACAAAGTGCCTAGGTTCAGTCTCCAGCGCCCAAAATTCTTTTTTTTTTTTTTGGCTAGTTCTGGCTGCCTTAAGGGTGGGGGTGTGGTGCAGCTTCTGGGGCTGGGGATCAAACCGCAGTCCCCTGCACCAGACTACATTTGCCCAAGCAGCATTTTAAACAGCTGAGCTACTGGGCAACCCCCATCCCCAGCAAATTCTTCTAAGTAAGAATTGGAAGTGGACTAGGGACGTACCTCAGTGTAAATGCCCTGGGTTCAATCCTCAGTAACACACACACACACACACAAATTAATTTAAAAAGCAGTGATATTTACACAACTTGGTAAATATATTAAAAGCTGCAGAGTTGTACATTTTGGGTAGCTTTTTTGACACAGGGTCTCGCCAAGGAGCCCAGGCTGGCCTTAGCACTCACAGCCATCCTCCTGCCCCAGCCTTCCAAGTGCTGAGATTACAGCCTGCGGCACTATACCCGGCTCCCTCTATTCATTCTGTAATCACAACCCAGTCCCTAGCTTAACTCTACAGGATGTCACTGGGCACAGAAGAGTCAGCGACAGGAGCCACTCAGAGCTGCAGCTATAGAGATCCCCGCAGAAAGGGCAAACTACCAACCCGTCCTTTTCCATCTCTTGGTTTTGTGACCAGTGACCCCCCCAAAATGTTCCCTATAAACTGGAGGCACATTTGAGTGTCACACTGAGGGATATCACTGGCATCTGGCTGTCCCTTCAAAATTATAGAACACGGTATTATGGCTGCAGACGAGTGTGCCTGCTGGGGGACCGCGACTGGCAGACAGTTTACCTCCAGAAGGAAGGTCCAGCCCGGGCTGGGGTGAGCGCTGCCCCACGGGGAGGTGCGGAAGAGTCGGCTTCTGAAACCTGCAAGGCACAGGGTGGTCACTGGGATTCACACAGGAGACCCCCCACAGGGACCCATTCCAGGCACCAGGGGATGTCTGACAGCACTCAAGGTACCAGATCTATAGGTATGTTTCCTTTACACAGACACCTATGATCAAGTTTTATTACTCAATTACAATAAAATATTAAGAACAAAAGAGAATTAAAACCTTATAGTCTAAAAAATCATGTGAATGGGGTCTTGTTCTTGCAATATCTCTTTTGGTTTTGCTCTTTTTTTCAAGACAGGGTTTGCTATATGGTCCAGGCTGGCCCTGAACTCCTAGGATCCTCTTGCCTCAGCCTCTTGGGTTCTAACATTACAGGCAATGTGCTATCACACCCAGCACTCTATTTTCGCGTTGTCCTGCATGAGTATCCAGTATTATGTTAAATATGCACTATATGTGCATTCTTCAGAGTTGCGGCTCTATTCCAGTCTACTTTGTCTCATGATTTCTACTAAGAGAAGATATATTCTACCAAAGGGGAAAATGTTCCTTAGCTTATACAAGTAATACTTTATTTTATTATGTATTTAGTATAGGGTCTACAGTAGGGTCTCACTATATAGATCAGACTCATAATGATTCTCCTGTTTTCAGCTGCCAAGTGCTGGGATTACAGGTGCACACCACTAGGCCGTCTCAACTGCCATCTCAGTGTGTGTGTGGAGGGGGTGCTGGCACGGAGAGCCCCGGCCCCTGTGCTCTGCCTAAGCAGGTACTTTAGTCTGTTGAGCTATCTGGCCAGCCCAAAAGTAGTAATTTAAAACTGCAAAAAAGTGCTTAAGGGCCAGGGAGATAGCTCAGTAGAATAAGTGCTTGCTTGGCCAAGCACAGGGTCCTGAGTTCAATCCCCGGTGCTGCAAAAAAAAAAAAGAAAAAGTGCTTAAAATGTATAGGGATGGCACACTGTTGGTGGGAACGTAAAGCTGCTACAGAAAACAGTATACAGTATAGAAGTTCTCTTAAAAGTTAAAAAAATAGTTAAAACAAGCCCGCCCTGGTGATGCACACCTGTGATCCTAGCACTCAGAAGGGTGAGGCAGGAGGATCATTGCGAGTTCAAGGCCAACCTGCACTACATTTCAAGGCCCCGCCTCAAACACAGAAAGTTAAAGCTAGGTGTGGTAGGGCAGGCCCTAGCACTTGGGAGGCTGAAGCAGGATTACTGTGAGTTCAAGGTCAGTTTAGGCTACATAGTGAGTTCAAGTCCAGCCTGCACCTCACACCATGATGGGACCCTGTCTCAGGAAAACAAAAGACAAAAAACAAACAAAAAATAAATATAAAATGCCCCCCAAAAAAGTCACAGTTAAGGAACTTTTCCTTTTCTCCCCACTTTTTTTTTTTTTTTTAATGTATTTGGTACAGTTTCACTATGAAGCTCCAACTCAACTCGTTGGGTCTTGGAGGCCTGCTCAGTATGTCTGGGGGTGGGCTGGCACTGCTGTGGCAAGTGGTACTGGGGATTGAACCCTGGTCCCTGCACTTACCTAAGCAGGTGCTTAGTCTGCTGAGCTATCTCAATGGCCCTCTCTCACTTTATCATCCACTGAGTCTTTTTCATGCTAACCAAGCACTCAACTATTGAGCTGCATGGAGCTCTTTCTGTGCATCTCTGTCACTGAAAATGTGCCTCTTCCTTAGTAAAGGGAGAAAAAGGCTGCACCTTCCAGTCCGTTTTTCTCCAAAGTTTTTATTTTGAAATGAGTTCACTTCAATGTCAAGCTTCTGGAGAAGCAGACAGGCACAACGAACTGTGCCCGCTGTGCAGAAAAGTGCAAAGTGCACCTCTCACTAAGATCCGTCCATGGTGAGCGCCTGGCCTACCTGCTGTGTCCCTGTCCACTTCCACCAGAATCATGTGGAAGTCAGCTGCAGCACACGCCCAGCACTTCTACGCACATCAGCATGCAGCTCCTAACAGGGACAGCATCCTCTCTAACTGCAGGAATTGCCACCATTCCCATCAAAATTAGCAAATCTCTGACATTCTGACTCTTCAGTCCACAGTCAAATTTCCCTAACAAGTACACACACAAAAGACAACATACATTTTTAAAGATCCAAGAGCCAACTAGTGATCATATATTGCATTTGGCTGTGGTGTATCTTTGATCTACTTAATTTACAACAAATCCATTTGGGGGGGCAGTACTAGAGATCAAACTTGGGACCTTGCGTTTGCCAGGCAGGAGCTTATGCCACTGAGCTACCTCCCCTGCCTGGTTGTTTTGTTTTGATTTTTTATGGCTGACTTTTTTTTTTTTAATGGCTGACATATTTGAAGGGGTCTCCACATTTGTAAACTTACGTCTACCTATGCCAATCCTCCCTTCTCCAGGTCCTATTCAAATAGGAACGAGCCATCCCTCTGTGGCTCTCCAGTCCTGCATTTCTCCTGCCCGTCCTGTCAAGCCCTTTCCTGACCTGCTGACGTCCTGTGTCTGTCCCCTGCACTTGCCCAGCGCTCCTGAGGGCGCCACCAGCTTTCCAAATGCCAAGCCCGAAGGGTGATTTCATTATTTCCTTAGCTGGTTTGGTGGCAGTGACCACGGCCACCCACTGCCCCCCTCTCGGGTGCTGTCAACCTTGGCCCAATTCTCTCTCTTGCCAGCAGCTGAAACACCCCAGCTGCCCTTGACCTTCTCATGCCCTCAGGACTTTGACCACCAGCCGCTCCTGACTCCCAGGTCTCCCCTGGCCGGAACTCCCTCCAGGCCCCCAGGTCCAGCTGCTTACCCACCTGCCTACCAGCTGCTGCCATTTTGGCTTCAACCTGCCACATCCATGGCTGAACTCCTACCTCCCTGATCAACCCACTCTTCCTCAGGTGGGCTTCTGCAAGGAAACACTAGTTCTCCAAATTTAACAATGTGACCTCACCCCACCGAAGGATCCCTAAATGCCCGCTGTTCTCACATCCATCACTCTCCAGCACTCTGCCAAGGGCACAGGGGAGGTTCTCCAAGGCTTCCTGGGGACTTTATATATAAAGAATTGGTCTCTGCTGTCAGCTCACCTTCTCTCCACCCCACCCACAACTCTAGCTGCTCTTCTGGGAGCCAAACACCTTCTAAGAGCCCCGCGCACTGGTGGGCACCCACAAGTGGTTAAGACACTGCCTTGGATGAGTAAGAGCTGGGCACAAAGCCTAGGTTTTTCCACCCACTGTATAGCCACAATGTACTACTATTACTACTTCGCCTAAGCCTTACTTTTCACTTACAAAAAGGGGATGATTATATCTGCCTCACAAGTCAAAAGGATTATTCTTTTTTCTTTTTTGGCAGAACTGGGGCTTGAATCCAGGCCCTTGCACTTGCCAGGCAAGCGCTTATTCTACTGAGCTATCCCCCCGGCCCCAAAACTTTTTCTTTTTTTTGGCAGATCAAAAGGATTATAAGTGATATATGTAAAATATTTGTTCCAGTATCAGACAAATACCCAATAACTGTTATAAGATGAAATCCAAGCCAGAGTTGGGGACACAGCCCTGTAATCCCAGCACTCGGAGGCTGAAACAGGAGGATCATCATGTTTAAAGCCAACCTCAGCTAATGAGTTTAAGGGCAATCTGAACTGCATAGCCAGACCATCGCAAAAACAAAAACAGGGGCCGGGGAGGTAGTTCAGTAGAATAAGTGTTTGCCCGGCAAGCGCAAGGGCCTGAGTTTAATCCCTGGTACTGCCAAAATAAATTAACCCCCCCCGCAAAAAAAAGTCCAAATTACTTACACTGCTTATCTCTTCAGTTTAATATTCCACCAATCCTTTCTCATGTTCTATAATGTCATGCTGTTTTGCATCTGTTTACTTTCAAAAGTACAATTTCCTTGGCTAAAAAGGATAGCTAGCACACCGTTTCATCTATTAAGTGAACCATGGGCCATCCCATCTATTTCACTTTTTTTTTT